AAAAAAAAATTTAGAAAATTGCAAAACTCAACTAGAAGCTCATATCATCGGATAAGGGATGATGGATATGAGGTTCTAGTCTACAAACCTAACTGAATAGGTTTTTTCCGATGATCGATTGGGTCTCACGGCGAATTTACACCAACTATAGCAGAACCTGAGGGTTTGAGCCGCTAGGCCATCGTCCCCGAGTTCCGCCAGTTGTGGAAGATGGAGCTGAAATTTTTTCATATGAAGTCGGTGAAATTTTTTTTTTTTCCCCTCCTGCGCGGGAGGCGAGAAGAGGCCGAAAGGAGAGGAGAGGGAGGGAGGGAGGTGAAAGCGGGAAAGTGTTGAGAGATGGATTCTATTTGTTTATTGTGTATGTTTATTGGGAATTTTGTTGGATTGGGCTGAATAGATGGGTGGGTAGGTAGGTTATTGTCTAACCCCCCTTTTTTATTTTCTTCTTCTCATCTGTTTTATGATGAACAGATGACCGGACCGAAGTTTTTGGAGCTGGAGCTGGGGCGTGGCTTATCGGTAGAGCGGTGGCCATAGAAGCAGAAGCGCCAGAGAATAGGTTGTCGTATGGAGAGAATTCGTATCGACAACGGTCGCTGCAGTGTCGATGTCCAACTCAACAGCACACTTCTCTTCCCAAGGCAGACCTCAGCTCGGGGCGACGCAGCTCGAGATAAAACAGACGGCCCCGGTCAAATCCAAGTGAGGACGGCAATCCACTGGCAGTGATGGATGGAGACATCGAAGTCGATCTCGACGCCAAACAAGTCTTCAAGAGCCGACTCGAGCTCGATTAAAGAGAGGAGTCAACGCCCAAAACTCTCTAGCTCAGCCTTTTCGTGAATTGCACTGGCATCAACCGCAGCGTGTCCAGCACTTGTCTCGAGAAGTTTCGCTCGCGAACTAGAGGGCTCTGCGACCACGCTCTTATGGAGGCAGGGGCAGGTGGCAGCGAGAGGATCGCCACTACGATCCGAGAGCCAAGCATTCGTTGGAGATTTTGACGCCCCTCGATGCCTGCGAATTCCGCTGCTACCTTTCTCAAGGCCAGTAGCGAGTGGTTGAGGTTCACGCATGGAATCGACGTACGCGTCTCCACACGTGTATCAGCAATAGGCCGAATGAGCTGGCGGATTGGAATTAACCAAGGATGGTCGCGAATGGCTCCGGGGACCGACGCCCGGGGAACTTTCGCAGGCGCTCCGTCTTTTTGGTTGGGAGGCTCCAGGATGTTGCGCAGGGCGATGAGCGGGATCTTGGAGAAGTGCATCTAATTGATGGCCGAGACTGAGTTCTCCGCCAGATTCAGAACAAAGATATCTCCTGAGGTCTGTGCCAGGTCCCTCAGAATCAAATGAAGAGTAGGCATTGGGCTGGCGTATGGTGTTGAGATCAGAGCCTGGGGCAACAGTAATGCTATCTGCTCCGGTACGAGTCCAGAGATAGGTCAGGTCAGACTCCAGATATGGAACAGGGAAGCGAATCATGCCATCTGCTAGCCAGACTTTGGCGGCAAGTGTCGCGGGGATCTTCAGGACTCTGGGAAAAGGTGGATAGGATGTATTTGTATTCCATTGGCCACGACTGTTCGATTGAACAACACCACGGAGTTCGTGAAAGAAAACGAATCACCTTGAGGAATCGAATGGTACAATTTGTACTTGATTTGAATTTGTGATTGTTACGCAATTTAGAAGTGATAGCTGAATGTCTAGGGTTGGTTTCGATGTCCTCGCTTAAGTGGCCAACAGCAGTTGCCCAGTACCGTACTTCCCACCAACATCTAGCATACAAATACTCCCAGAACACTGCCCCGAGCTCAAACGCACGTCTGTCTAGACGTTGGGTCGTCAGGTGAGATTGGAGCAGGGCGATGTAGTGCCGTTTTGCGATGTTTGGGATATCCAGCACTCAAACGAGACAAGGGGATAGTCGAGAGAAAAAGAAGGTTCGATAATTACATGTCCACCGTCGACCCCTTACCAAATGTTCTCGTGTGAACTGCGAAGGCTATGAACTCAAATACTGGACCTGTACTCGACTACATAGCACCTCCAGACTGTAGGCCACCGATCGTCAAGACATTGAAAAAAAAAAGAAAAACATCTCCTGTTGGTCGACTCAGAACATCGCTACGCTTGGCGAACGAAAACCAGAGAGAGCATATGAGAAGGGAGAAGAAAAGGATTGTGGTCAAACAAGCTCTGCTAGAGCAACCCGATAGACGTCAGATATAAAACACCTTTGCCAGATCAAGAACCGATAAACCGGTTCCTTATCGCCACTCAGCTCCCCATGCCTCGTCCCCAAATTCACCCTCATCCGCCGCCTCTTCCATCATCTCCATCTCTCGAATCTCCTCTCGCTCCTGATCCAACTTGCTCTCCAACTCCGCATTCCTCACCTTCGCAGCCTTGTCCCAATCAGCCTGATCCTCCCTGCTCCTCTTGACCCTCATCAGCGCAGGTCTACCAGCCTTGATCCGCAGAGTATTCAACGCCCGCTGCTCGACAAACGTGAGATGCACATTCTTCCTCCCCTTTCCCTTTTTGCTCCTGATCCCCTTCTCCGCGTTGACGAATCCAACCAGGCGCTTCATCTTGCCGTAATCAGGGCGGATCTGGTGCAGCTCATCCTCAGTAATCTGGACGTATTCTTTGCCGTAGGCGCTGCGGTTGGCGCGAGGGTTGGCGTAGCGTTCGACTTCGGGGGCTGCTGGACTGGGGGTCTCGTCGCGCTCGATAGACTCGAGTAGGCCTTGGAATGCGCTTGGGCGAGCTCGGAGGGGGCTGATCACGATATCAGGTGGAGGAGGAGATGCCGCGCGCTCTGGGCTGGGGGATACGAGATTTGCGTAGTCTCCGTCATAGCTGCGCGAGTCGAGAACGTGGTCAGGGGCAGGGACGTTTTCGGAAGGGCTCGTTTGCAATAGGAGACCTGTATCTGGGGGGCTGTATGGGGCGTATGCTGAGGGCGTAGGAGCTGGCGAGTATATGGGGTAGGCTGGAGCTGAACTAAGAGAGTTGTAATATCCTTCTGGGTCCGGATATAGACTCAGACTAGCTTCAGTTGGCGTAGATAATGAAGGGTAGTTGGGATACAGACTCGGACCAGCTTCAGTCGGCGTGGAGAAGGGAGGGTAGTTGGAAGACGTCTGATTCCAGTTTTGGTTGAAGGTAGTCGAGGAATTTGATGTAGCTGCTGGATTTGGCATCCATACTGAGATTTTATACGGGGAACCGGCGATCGGAGCCCAACTTGAAGGGACTGAGGGTCCTGCATGGCTCATGGGACCGTATGGGTCAGAAACGGAAGTACCACTCGCGCCGTATTGGTAAGCGGCGAATCTGGAAGGATTGAAGGGGGAGGCTTGACCGGAAAGTCCGGTCCAGCCAGACGACATGTTGGCTGTCTCGTCGACGCGATCTCTGACCTCGGAGTTCTGATGGGCCGGTTTTCGGACGCGCTCATCTGGCTTGCGGTATGGTCTCTGGCTCTGCCATAATATCAGCTTCTGGCCTTCCTCACGAAATAAGCATAGCTTGAAGGGAGGGCCTCCAATCAAAAGATCTGACAGAATTTGCCAACTGTCGCGAACTTACTGAGGGCCTCATGTTGACTGACTATCGACCGTTGTTGTGTGGTAGAAAGGACGCGAAACCTCAGAGGCTTCTGATGCCTTTATCTTACTCAGAAAGTGAATCCGTCAGCGCGTGACTCAGAAATTCAACAAGATAAAGCGCGGCTGGGTGAGGGGCTAGGTGTTCGGCCGCTAGCGTGGGGCGCCTTCTCTTTTCGATGTTTTGACAGAGCCTAGCCTACATCGGGTACACGTGACTGTGACAAGCTCTCCGGCTTTCACCAAACCTTCAAAAATTTCCGGCCCTTTGCTCTTAGCCCTCGCCTCGACCGGGTTTGGGTTCAGTTTCTCGGCCTCCAGGATCCACTTTCTTTTAGCAAGAACAGCACCATATACTTGTCACTTCACCGGATCGAGGACTTCACGCGTTGGCATCGACCAAGTCTCTGGTCTTTGGAAGAGCAGCTCGACCGAATAATTCATCATATTCCTCCTGAAATATGGATTCTAAGTACTGTGGTAGAGTTCAAGAAAGCGTAGAGCTGAGACTTCCCAAGCCCACCAATCCTTTAGTAGAAGTCTGATCCGTCTACAACTCGTGAATGGGCAACATCCGCAATCCCCAAAAAATATGAAGGCATAAACTCATATCACTATACCATTTCAACAGTTGAAATATTCTCACCTCCCACACCAATTCTCCAAACTTGTATCGAATATAATAAAGCACATTCAAGGACCGAGAAGAGTTTATTCAAAATTACTCAAAAATCGATTTAATTTTCACTCAAGGTAAATCCCCCTTCCTTCATAGTTATCTGGGAGAGCGGTAGCTCAGAGATCCTTCTTCGAAATGAAGGGAGAATTTGGTGCAGATTGTCGCCAGTTAAAGCCGGTACTTGAAGGATTAATTCCGCTTAACCTTGTCTTTGTATTCTTCCCTTGAAGAGCCCACTGATCACAATTACCAAAGGCACATGTAATCAAAAAAATTTTTTTTACTTCGTATTGAGTAGCGTTTCATTTACACCAGCAGGGCTTTCTGTAGATATTAGAGAGATCCCATCAGCGAGAGAAAGAGAGAGAGCAAGACGAAAGACATCATGGCGCGCAACAGCTATAACCCACGTAAGTTGCATTCACAGACACTCATCTTCCGCTGCTCTTTGTTGAAAAACATGAGCTCTGCAAGCATTCTCGCTTCAAAGACCTGAGTGCAGTCCAGCGTATGAATAGAACTTTGTCAAAGGCAGCTGGCAAATAGTACGGCTCCTTACAGGCTGTATAGCGCTGGGAGTGCATCTTGCATTCCAAAAGGTCGCTCGCTATTTCTATCAAGGATCCCACAGACTCCAACTTCCAAGGTTTATATCCGCGAGCACACTGCCGATATCGAATTCAGAAACGATTTCTTCCAAAGCAAGTGTACGCGTGAGACCAACTGCTGATGTAGTATGCTGTCCTTCGAGCCGTCCACTGCTGAACACCGAATGAAAGCATCATATCGTGATCTATTGAGCCCGCCCCAAAGGTTCTTTACATCTGCAAACGACAAATTTTTCATCCAAGGAACCCAAGTGGTCTGGTCTATCATGAAGCCATTGAGCCTCAGCGCGGATACCCATCCGAACATTCATTCTTCATCGCCACCACTATTGCAGCCCGCAAACATTGCAGCCATACCCTCGTATGGATCCTCATCCACTTCCAGCGGAATGATTGAACCGTCGAAAAGACAAGGGGCCTGGGCCCAAAGATCATGAAGTCTCATGAAGTAGCTGCCCGATTTATCACATCGCGGCTCTTCGGTCCAGTAGCAGACGTTGGAAAATCGTGGGGCCTTCGGCAGAAGATACGTTATGGTATTGGGCCACTTGTGCTGTGGATAGTAGCAAGGACCTTCGATCTTAGCTAGCATACAAGTCTTGATCTTGAGGCGTGATTTTTTGCCAGAGCTGTCAATGGCAGCTCGAAGCTCCTCTTGAGTACGGCCCGCCCAGGACTTGATTTGGCGGAGTTTCTGTGTCCTACCGACTAGCGGATCGAAGCCATTGAAAATGACCTGGTAATCTATACTTTCCAGTTGCAAAGAAGTGAAGTCGTCGCCGATCTCGAGGAAATGCAGGATGGACTTGGTGTTTGGTATTTCTATATCGAAGCCGCGATTGGTCCATAGGACAGTGAGCGTTTTCAGATTAGGGCACCACTGGTTCAACTTCTCGATGATCTTTTGGGGGTTCGCAAATGGCTCGTCCTTGGTTAAGCCATACGTGACCATATAGTGAGCAATTGCCAAGTGTGAGACGCGGGATAAATCAATCAAAGACTTGATTTTTGCGTATAATATGACTCTCGGGTCAATAATCAACGTATCACGCTTCTCGTCAATATAGCTATGCGTGCCATTGATGTCGAAGCCATTGCTGATGTCGGAGTGGTAATCTGACATAGCTGTCCTGTTCCACCGAAAGCCCATGCCCGGGATATGAATCGGGATCCTACGATACATATTGTCAAAGAGATTTTTGGACTCCTGGCAGACTAGTCGCAGCTGCCCCAAACTACGGTTGGAGCGGAAAGACTCATCGATAGGCTTGATTATGCTGAGGTAGCTCGTGAAAGATATACGCCCCAGAGAGCTGAGGTATAAAGTACGTGGGCCAGGCAGAGCAAAGAACCAGATTTTGAGTCTCAACTCGGTTGGTAAGAGGCGAAACAACAAGAACTCTTCCTCCCGCTCAATGTACTTGAAGTGATGGGGACGTGAGGGGTTTGACCGGTCGACAAAAGAGTAGCGATGTGGTGGCGAGAAATCACCTTGGACGATGGAGCCATCTGGATTGTAGAACGAAGGCTTGTCGGTGATTATGTAGTCACCTGATTTTCAATTAATGTATGTTATTCGCAGGGTTGTGGACAGGTCACGTACTAGTGCTGAATGGAGGTTCAAGAATCGCCCCAGGACTACTCGGATGGAGAATCGGAGGATGTGGAATTAGCCTTGGGAATTCCCGCTCAGCACTGTCCTGTATACTGGTTTCTTCCGTTGATATCAACATCGCTGATATGCTGAAGGGATCGTGGGTGTATGGCGTAGCTGGGATGCTTATCAATGTTGATGTTGGGTCGACAAATAACTGTCGAGAAAGCGATAAAGCGCGGGCGAGACGAATGACTGCAGTTGGATTTGGATAAGATGAATATGAAGAATATGGGGGGAGATGCTATTGAATTGGTTGAGGAAAAGGAGCGAAGCTGAAGCTCAGCTCAGCGAAATACACCTGGCGCTAATCTGTATCGCACCTTCCAACAGGATGAGTCCAACACGTGATGCTATAAGGCCTGCTATTTACTTACAATGAAAGCCCTCCCAGCGCTATCAAGAGCTAGGTCAGAGCCCCTGGGTCATCGTCGGTCTCCCAGAAACACATCAACATGCACATGGTACTGTAATATGACACCAACGGAGTAACAGAACCGTAAAGCAAAATGTTAAATTGCTATTTGAGGAAGAGAACGCAAGCGAAAAGCTGCGGCGCCAGTGGGCAGAATCATTATGCCAGAGCGCAAAAAAGAGCACAAGAAATAGTATGGGAATATGCGCATCGCCGGGTGCCACGGAGCTCCACAGACCTCTACCTATCGACCGACTATCAAAGAAGGGACCGAAATGCTGAGATCGATTCCGAACGACCAAGCACAGAAAGTCCATGCCACTCTCCACCGCACATACCAAATGTCCTCCAGCCGTTTCTGAAAAACGCTATTCCTCATCACCCGCCTGCCGGAACATCTCGGATATGCTCTCGTATGGCTCCAGCCAATTGATCGTGCCATCATAGCGACACGGAGTCTTAGCCCAGTCGAACAAAAGATAGTGCGGTACCGATGTATCGCGAAACGGCATCTCCATGCGGAAGCAGACATCGGAATACTGCGGGTTGGTAGGGAGAAGATTGACCATCTTGGTTAGCCATGCTGGGCCTTCTATCGTGGCTAAGGTGCAGACTTTGATCTCCACCATCCTCAGTCTGCTTTCTGGATTATCTGCTAGATACCCTTGGATTTCTCTTCTGACATCATCCGCATTGTTCAGAAACTTTCTGGCAAGTCGTGATGCATATCGTTGGTAGCTCTCGCTCCATGGGCCGATCACTTGAGCGGGTAAATAGTCAGCAAAATCGCGGTTGATCTCGAGAAAGTGAGGCTCAAATTTATAGCCTGTATTTTGATTTGGAAAGTTTGCCGAGTAGATTTCGAGGGTAAGGGTCTTCAATACTCGACACTGCTCTACAAATTCCAAGGCAAGCTTTATATTGCAAAAGCCTGTATCCCCTTCATCGGCGAGTTCGGTGAATAAACGAGTACGGACCGCAAGGTTTGTAAGTCGGGACATGTCAAGCCATGCGTTTTTTTCCATGATATCTTTTATGTTCTTATGTATGAAGAGTGTATCTCTCCTCTCGTCAACGTACCAGGGGCCAGTGTTCCGGAATTGGAGGTCGTTGTTGCCAAGCCCGGAGTAGTTCTCGGGTGCAAGGTCTTCGTCCCATAGTGATCCAATGCTTGAGCCGAGTATCGGAAGTACGCGATAGTTACTCTCGAAGACATCTCGGGATTCCCTACAAACCAATCTTAATCTTTGCATCTCCTTGTCGTAGCGAACTTGGCCAATGGGTTTCATCAAGACCGTCATTTCATACCGGGTGACGATGGTAGTGACGAGTACAAGGCGTGCTGCTGGTAATGCGAAGTACCAGATTCGCAGTCTGAGCTCATAAGGCAGGCGGTTGAAGATCGTAAAGTCTGGGTTCGGCTTGGGCCATTCGATGACCGCGATGTGACATGAGGAGGGGAGTTCGATCTCGACGACAGAGCCATCGGCAGAGTACATCGTCGGCTTCTCGGTGATGGAGTACGCTTCTGTGATACAGTCTGTCAGAAAATTAAGCTCGTAGAAGAACTGAGTGTACTGACCAGGGGTATATGGATCAAGCTTGAAGTCCCCATGAGCTAACACATGATCTGTGAAAGGAATCAATGCCCGTGTGGAGGAAGCGATATTGCCGTGGTCCTCGGTATGCATTGCAGATGTTGACGCTCGTGGCGCAGTTTTAGCATCCCCGTCGAGGTGGTAGCTGTTGTTGGAAGTCATTGGATACTGTTCTGTCGCGGAGGTCGACAAGATTAGAACTGAAAGATATCTTCTTAAAAAACCAGTGCTGAGCTGCTTATATAGACCTAGATATCCATGTAGTGCTAGTCACCCATATAGTGAATCCTTGATACGCTTCGAGGATAAGTTGTGATTCAGACAATATTCAGCATTCAGTATTAGAGACAAATCAACCACTTACACTCTAGACAATCTGTATACTAGATGCTGCTTACCGATTGTAATCAGAGTCAAATCTAGTTCTTCAGTGAATAAGCACAGGGACGTTTCTCTTATACGTGAATCAGATTGCGTCCCCGGAGCTGAAATAGTGCGCACGCTTGTCCGCGGGGGTCACATAGAGCTTTCAGTTCCGCATGCTCTCGCCGCATGCTCTCGCAGCCAAACAATTATAAATCCAACCTGATAAGTAACAAACACAAGAAACAAGTATGCGATAAACATCACATCAAAGAAAATGCATAGAATCGTGGCGCAGTGGCATGAGCCCATCTGATCCACATAGTGTACAATACCCCTTGGACCTCGAAGAAACATCCATACATTAGTTATACCTGCCAAGACGCCCTTCGTAGATCCCCTAGACCTTAAGCCATAACCGCAAGACCCCAGTAGCGTATTCAGCAATTTCTGACGATCCCAATTTTGAATCGCCGTACAGGCGATCAACAAAGGTAATCGGCACCTCCGCAACTGTGCAGCCCATCGCTTTAGCCCGGACCATCATCTCCATCTGGAAGGTATATCCTTTACTCTCGGTACTCTCAATGACCTTCTGCAGAACCGCCCTCTTGTACAGTCTAAAACTACCCGTCAAATCACTAACTCCAGGTCTCAACACCGTATCCGCGAAAAGGTTGGCGCCCCTCGACACCAATTTGCGCTTCAGGTCCCATCCAAAGACACCTCCATCACCGGCGTATCGCGTACCAGTGACAATGTCGTATCCACCGTTGGTAGAGAGCTCTTTCTGCTTCGCGATCATGCGCGAGATGAACTTGGGGTGGTGCGAGAAATCGGCGTCCATGATTATAACATAGTTCCCTGAGACGAATTGCAGGCCGTGTACGTATGCCGTTCCCAGACCGAGCTTGCCGGCTCGCGCCTTGAGGAGGACGTGGGGGGCGTAGGCTTTGGCGAGTTGGTTCGCGACGATTTGGGTGCCGTCTGGAGATCCGTCGTCGACGATGATAAGTTCCCAGTCGAGGTTTCTGCAGGGGGCAATTAGTTTCTGCGCCGGCGAGGTCATTGGAGATATGTATGTGAACGTACTGCTCGGTGAATGTGCGATTGAGGAGCCAGGTAATGATGGGCAGGTTGCGACGCTCGTTGTAGGTCGGGAGGATAACAGAGTATTTGTCCTTGGTAATTGGGGCCATGTTGATCGAAAGCTGGCGAAGGAGTGGAAGAAGAGAAGTGTAGAATTAAAGTGGTGGTAGGGATAAAGTACCAAAGGAGAGATGCAAGTGGTACAGGTGCGAAGTGAGGCTGGAAATGATGTGGCTTCAAAAGATGTTCGTGAGAATGGTGCCAAGCCACTTGGGCTAAGACTATTTGAACGTCATTTCATCAATTTCGTCTTCTGCACTTTGATATCTTCTCGCTGGACAGAAAACTTATGTGCCAAAGCTGTCGTCGAATGGATTTTAATAAAGTTTTATTTTCTAAACAATTCTTGGACTCCACTCTTGATTTGAATCTCCATTTTCCGATTCGTTTGTTGCTGCAGTAGGTACGTACCCATGAGAATTTGAATAGTGTCCGAGAGCCCTCGTCAAGCACACAGATAAATCAGCATGACCCTTACGCTGCGTTGCGTCTTATGCTATCGGGCTCTCTGGGATTTCTAGGACTTAGGTGCTGATGGGTTGTTGATAGGGCTTTGGGCAGGCTGCTGGTGATCATAGTAATCATCCGCCCCTCTGTGCAGCCCTCAAGTTCTCGCATATTTGTCTAGTCAGCAATATGCGCTGCTATCTTGTCCTTTTCTTTAAATAGCATGCGTCTTTTTTTTTTTACAAAAAGTTTCCACTCTAGAGCAGCACTGGTCGAATTTCGAGTCACGTGGCAACCTTTCCTGTAACCGACGAGCTTTGCGTAGCCTGTAACGGCGTGGAGCCCTTTCAGGCACACAATAAATTCGTGCCGTTAATATCTTCATTTACTGAGCTCATGTCCTGAACTACTCTTCTATCGCTTACTTTATGAGTAAGAAGCATTTTCCTTCATCAAGTCAGACGTTTGAGCCGAGTCATAGCCAAATATAGGCACTGACTCTCAACTTCGTTGATAACGCTTCAACAACCTTCCCGCGCAACCCCAGTTCATTTTCTCTTCATCACTTGCTTACTGTGCTCCTTCTCAAAACACACCATGTGCTTGCGTAGCACCATCCGAGACAAGGAAAGGTATTTCTCGCTCTGAGTATCTTCTTGAACGGTACGACCACGTCGATACCTAACAAGTTTCGCCTCGACTCTTCATCACTTGGAAACCTTCCATCACAATCAGCCTGATTGATTTTCAATAAATTTCCCAATATTTTTTCAGCATCGGAAGCTTTTCCTCGCCAACCTTCACCGCCTCACCAACGCTTCCATTTCAACACATCAGTATTTTAGCATTACTTCGCGTTCGCGCTCTTCACCACGTAAGGTGAAGAGCGAAGAGTAAAACTCGAGGGGTTTCTTGGGTCTAACAACCTCTCACCTCTGGACCGTTTCGTCAAATTCCCATGCCATCGTCACTCAACAGCTTCTCCCCTTCTCCTTACCAAGAAACCTTTGACTCCGACCTCTCTGAACGCTCATCAGCAACGTAAAAACACGAAAGGCAGTCAAAGTGGCACCTGAATACGTTCAGCTCCGTTCAGCTTGACGGAAGCCACAGCCCTCGTCCGCACTGCCAACGGTACGAAACGTAAGGCGGAGGCTGCACCCCCAGGCCGCCCCCGACCTCCATTACAAGTCGCCCACACCAATGGGGCAGCTTGTCCCCGAGTTGTTGCACCTGGAACTTTCGATGGATCCGCTCCTGCTTCCTCGCCAAAGAAGAAGCACTTTGCCTGCTTCAGGCGAGCTCGCTGGCCTCGATCCCAATTAACTTTTCCATATCTAACTGCTGCCTAGTAACCCTAATGCCCCTATGGTGAATATCTTCGTCGGAGCGGAGCAGAAGAAGTTCCGTGTGTTCCTCGAGGTCATTTCGTACCACTCTCCCTTCTTTCGCGAGTCATTCCATCGTATGCGCAGCGCCGAGAGGGAGACGAAGATAATGCGTCTTTTGGTCAAAGACGTTGAAGTCAAAGTCTTTGGCCGGTTCAACAACTGGCTACACACCCAAGAGATCTGCTGCAGCGAGCCCGACGAGCTCGATCCGATAGATCTCGCCCACCTGCATCTGGAATACTGACGAGCTCCACGACGAGGCGATCGAGGTGTTGGTTCCCCCGGTTGATGCCCAGACCGAGGACCCCGAGACGGGAAAAGACTGCGCACTCCGGCTTTTTTTTGCACCACTGCTACGAGACTTCGGAGGTCACTGCCTTGAAGAAGCTCGCCATCCACAAGATGATGTCGCTGGCTCCAAGAATCGATGCTGCTGCTGCTGCAGATTGGCTGGCGTCTTTCCCCGCGGGCATGCTGACCGACTTCACGGCGGCAATGTTCAGACACGGTGCGAGACTGCCGCCGAATATGCAGTTTCCTCCCTTGGAGTGGGATTGTTACCGGGTTAGAGTGCCAAGGGCTCAGAATAAGGTAGATTTAACGGAGGACAACCTGATAAGTAATCCGAAGCATCGGAATCTTGGGTCTGGAGGATCGCGACGGGCATTGTCGCACTTGGGGGTTCAACGTGCTCGGTTTTTTTTTTCAACGCAATGCTGCTGCTACCCTTCGGAGGAAGCCAAAGAGTGGCAGCTCTTTATTTATGAGGTGTCTCTTTCAGGCCGCACACAAGCTTGGTTCGAGGGAAGGGGACCCCAATTTAGCCGAACTTGGGGAATTGGGCAGGCAGAACACAGATATCTTCTACCATCGCAGGCAGCATGAGCGGAGAGCAGGATTTTACGTTCCGAAAGGTACTCAGATGGTGGCTCCGATTTTATGGTCTGACGGAGATGCGGGGAGAGATTCCCCTCAAGCTACATGAATCACTTTGACCTTCATTATTGATTGTTCTGCTTCTTTTTTGAGGGGTTCTGAAGAGGGGAAAAAAAAAAAAAAAAAAAAAAAAAACTAACGCCTCTTTTCACGCATTGGATCGCCGACATACTCTAACCATTGACTGACTGGCCGCGGGACCTGGTTCATTCCGCTTTTGGGATACTTATATTATATATTACCGCGTCCAACCCATCCAACCGGTCTCCTCTCTCTCTCTCTTTCTCTCTCCTTCAATGAATGACCTCCTCCGTCAGCAATCCACCATCACACCAAGACGAAACATACCCGAGGTTCGTATCAAGATCCGGCGTACGCATGCGCGAGCATTTATCATTATTAATAGCGTCGCAAACGTTCGCTGGCAACAAAACACCATTGCGAACTCCTACCGGTAGTCATGAGACCTTCTCCAAGCGAGACATCAGTACTTGATAGTAAATAAGTATCGACTTCGTGATATGTGTCCATATGTATATGTAGACCAATCATCTCGTTTATATGAGCGATACAGGTGAATGAGATCAGCCACTTCAGTACCGGTACCGGTACTTGTAAGAGTCCAGCTTTGATGTAACCACGCGTAATGAAATTAAACTCGACTACCGGTACCGATACGTTCGCTCGCTCTTTCTACCTTTCTTCCGTCCTCCGTTTACCTCATATGACACCACCCCACCATCATCGTACGGAGTACCGTACACGGACGGCGGGTGTTCCAACCACCCGACATCCTACCTCCTACCTATGCCCCTCTCGTACTGGTGAAGGTCGCACTGATTTTTTTTGTTGCACGTCGCAAAATAGCCGTCATTTCCGAGCGGCGGAAGAATTCACATACCGGTAAGTACCTAGGTAGGTAGGTAGTAAGGTACCGACCGGTAGTTGTCCAAGTCCCCCTAGCTCGCACACGGAGTAGGTTAGGTTAGGTAATCGTCGGCCGAACCCAAGGGTAGGTAACTAACATAACCTCTTCCGGACTTCCCTCGCCTGCCTGCCTGCCTCCGCTCGCGACGGGCGACTACCTATGCTACCTTACCGTCTTGTGCTCTGTCCTGTTTGGCCTGCAAGCATGGGAAAAAAACACGGATGCCGGTATGGGTAGGTAATCTGCATTTCCCTCAACGGGCCAAGGAAAGGCCCATCATACGTGCGGAAACGGGAGGGGGGGGGAGGGAGAGGAGGGACGTGTTTTTTTTGTTTTTTTTTTGTTGCACGTCGCGAGAGCGGAAGACATCCGGTCGGGAAAAGGATTTAACAGTCTGTCGACGCTGCTCGATCCACGTTCATACCCGTGGCCCGCGAGCGATCCGGATCTTTTTCCGCGCGGGCGCGGGCGGGCGCGGGGCTCTTACCATCTTTCTTTCCGCGCCTGGGTGGTATGATGATGATGGTGTGGTTTCCCCGCCCGCTCGTGTCTCACCCGCCTCGACAGTACCGGTACCGGTAGTACGGTGAACCGCGCGCGCTCCACGTCTGCACGTTCTCCTCCTCCGCAAGCGTCTGGAGGTGGAGGGAGGGAGGGAAGATGGAGGGAAGAAGGGATTTTGTTGCACGTCGCAAAGAAAAGAGGACGGAACCGGACTGCGGAACGAGAATTGGAAACGGGAACGAGAGAGAGAACGACCGAGAAGTCTCAACATTTCTCACGCTATTCGGCTTTGATGCTTGGTTCCCCGCTCTGCATATATTTATTTATTTGTTTACTTACTTACTTATTTACACATGCCTTTCTCGCTTCAGATCGCCTTGTCCTTCCTTTTTCCCAAAACACTTACTTACCTACCTACTTACCTACTTACTCGCTTTCATCACGAACCCTCCCTCGATACTTCCCTTCTTTCACTCTGTCCATCTCCCGCCCCCTTCTCTCCACCCCGCCAGCGAGGCTCCGACGCGACGTTCATTTTCCATTTTTCACTTTCCCTCTCTTGGTTTTCGTTGCAAGTCGCAGCCTTCTAGCCGTGTTCCCGCTGGCCGGGAATGATATCATCATCTAGGTACCTATGTAATTACCGGTACACCACTCTGTTCCGGACAAGAGAGATACGGAGAGGATCGAGCTGACACGTCATCGGGGCCGGCCTTCTCTTCTCTTCTCTTCCCTTCCCTTCCCCGACACAGCACCGCTTTTTGTTGCACGTCGTTCGGGTAGAGCATATACCCGATGCCTAATCTCCGTACAGTCTTTCTGTTTCTGTTTCTTTTTCTAATCTTTTTCTAATCTTTTTTTTCCCTTTTTCTTCCCTTTTCTTCCCTTTTCTTCCCTTTTCTTCCCTTTTCTCCTTCCCCCCCTTTTTCCTTTCCTTTTCCAAATCTCTCCCAGCCTTCCCCATCTTCTCAAACCTCTTCGATCACGGCCCGTTTCTGCCCAGACCCAGACCCAGACCCAAACCCAAACCCCCCCCAATGTCACCTACCGTACCCATCTCTCACATCCTCCATCCCATCCCACCCCCTCACCACCGTCCCTGAAAAGCAGCTCCTACCACATACGTACACACACATACATACATACACATACACATACACACATACATACCCAACCCAACTTACACTCTCCACACATCTCCAAAGAAGAAGATTCCCAAAAAAAAAAAAAAAAAAAAAAAGATTATAATTCAAGCAGGAGAAGAACAAGCAGGAGGAGAACAAGCAGGAGAAGAGCAGAAGAGAGGGATAAGGTATAACCGAGCCTTCACATCATTTCATATCATTTCATTTCGGGCCGTACCTTCCTTTCGCTCATACCAGGTGCGGGGGGGGCTTATATATGTATGTATGTATGTATGTATGCCTGTGTGTATGTATGTATGTTTACCTGTGTGTGTATGTATGTTTACCTGTGTGTGTCTGTATGCCTGTGTGTATACCTACCTACCTACCTACCTACCTGTGTGTGTTTGTTTGTTTGTTTATTTATAGTAGCTGAGTAAGCGCGTGGCTGGGTTGGTGGGTGAGTGGGTTCCGCGGGAAGGTGGTGGTGGTGTTTGGTGAAGGTGGGCGGGTAGGTAGGTAGCTAGGTAGGTAGGTAGGAGGTTGGAGGTTGGAGGGACAGGTAGAGAGGTAGAGAGGTAGGAGGTTGGAGGTTGGAGGGACAGGTAGAGAGGCAGAGAGGCAGAGAGGCAGAGAGGCAGAAAGACAGAGATACTACCTTCTTACAACATGCGAAAAGGAAGATACCTTAGGTAGAGGTAAAGGGTACGAAAGTACGAAAAGAATTCTCGGCCGGCTGTGACATGGAATTCATCGCGTCGTAGATTTGCTCGCAAGGAAGGTCCTCTGGTCATTCAGAAGCTCGCGCTATGATCATCGGCCTCTGATGCCCTTCCTGCCTACGTATTCCAACACCTTCCTCTTCCCAGCGTTCTTCGCTCTCTGCCACTTCACGTACAGCGTGACCACATCCTTCAACACGACGAAGATACACCCGCCCACGACCGTCCGAGCCCATTTCTCCCTGAGAAGCCCTCCGCATCGATTGTAGCCCACCCACCTCACCGGCAATATAGCCTTCAGCACCTCACCCATAGCGGAAGAGACGGCAGGGAAGAACAGCGCACCCATCACAGTCGTCATGACCTTCGCCGCGGAGACTTCTTGATGATGTACCCACCGATGACGTACCTCGCGCCTTCTCTCCGGGGCCGCATTTCGCGCCGCAGCCGGATCAATCATGTCTTCTTCCTCCACCCATTGGACGTCGAGAATGGCGCGACCTTCGTCTTCATCCGCTACAGCTTGCTCTTCGATTTCCTCGGCTGTCTCGCCCTCGCGGGGTTTGCGGCGGACGGCACGGTCCCAGTCTCTCTCGAGAGCGGAGAAGGCGTAGTGGTAAAGGGAGTTGTAGGCTTTTTTGATGAAAGGGATGGCGGCGAACGTTAGGCCGGGGGTAGGCGGCCAGGAGACGGAGATCTTCCAGTTAGGGTTGCGGTTGAGGTTGTTGAGGAAGTACTAGATCAGTTAGGACACGCGTTTAAAGTGGCTTCGGGGTCACAAACTATGGGCAGGAGTAACGCTGAGGCTTGATCTGCGAGCCCTGTTCGAAGAAATACGAGAGCTGGCCCGATGAGGGGTAGAGAGAGCCAGAGCTTCACCTTCATTGAGGCCTCGACTTGAGGGGTTGGGAAGAAGGGGTCCATGGTGTTGAAAAGATTAACAACGCTCCTCCACGTCCCTGGACTGGCTCTCCCGCCTGTTGGAGCTCCAAGGAGCCGCCACGCATCTTCCGCGCCGAAGACCAGAAACGTGGTATTTACTCCATAGATCATCAAGCCAGAGTATGCGCACCCCATAACCCCGCTGATTGCCGAAGGTAGAACCAATCCTCGCGCCAATTTTTCCACTAAAGAGAATGCCTCCACGATTGGGTTTCTGGGCCGTTCGACTTTGATCGGGTCTTTGCACTGGGGACAGTGGAGTCTCGGGGCCGCCAGGATTTGTGGCTTGGGAGCTTCTTGGTCGGCGACCCATTCTAGCAGACAGTGCTCGTGGGCAGTCAAGGAGCAAGAGCATGGGTTTCTCCAAGGTCCATCTTCCGGTGTGTCTTCTGTCTCTTCCGATTGGCAGATCCAGCATATGCGGGCGTCCTCTTTACGTTGGGGTTTCGCAGGTTCGGGCACAGAGGAGGTGATGGGGGAGGTGGTTGTGGAGATAGAGGCCTCCGCCGTTCCTCCGGGAGTGTTCAGAGGTGTCCATTGCGATTCGGAGGTGTCTGGTTCGTGAGATGAGATCTCCTGGGCGGGGGAGGAGGGTCGTTGTTCGGGAGAGGAGCGCCTTCGCGCGGCTTGGGAGGGTAGGGAAGCCATCGCTGCTGGCTGTTGGCTGTTGGCTATTGGCTGTTGGCTGTTGCCAATCGCCAAAGTTTGGTTCGATTAATGCTACTGTTGCATCTTGATACCAGCAGGATTCCGCTATTGGTGTCGGTCGATTGTTTGTCGTTGAGTTGAGGTTGTCGGAAGGGGAGGCATGAAAGGCTGAGGCGCGTCTCGCCTCAACCGGGCCAGGATGATAATCCGGTTCCGATCCCTGCTTGTGCAGCCTCGTGAAGCTTTCAACGTCAATCATCATTATCATGCGGAGTCTATGTCTTCAAGACAGCAATTGACAACCTGTTACAGCTTCATTATCACTTGCCTCCACAGTCCGTGTACATCACTTTGCACCAGCTATGTTTACTCCCATTTACGGTGGGACAGACGCTCCTATCAATCACATTAATCATATCAATCATATCAAACATGTTATCATAACTATCTCTCTCTTCCGTCTGCTGTCCCCGTCCAATTCTATTCAAATACAAAAGCCACCCCCAATCCCCTCTCCTATGCTTCGACTAGGTAAGTAGCTAATTTTCGACTTCCAGCTAACATGGAAGTAGGAAGGTGAGTTGAGATGGGCGAGGCGTGCCTGCCGCTAATGTAGTCTTCCAACTACTGAACGGGAACGGGGACGGGGAGATCAACGGCAACATCAACGTTAATCTCTATCCCCTCACAAATTCTCTCCTTTCTACTGCTTTTCCTCTCTCTTTATTACCTTCCGGCCTCTCCTACTCCCCTATCCCGAAATTTCAACCGCGAATTCATGTAACCCAGCCATGGGTCCACGCAGACCTCTCCTCGTCGTCCTCTTCCTGGCAGCCATCGGCACATTTATCCTCGTCTCGCGCAGAGGACGGGATGGAGGACATATCACGAAAGTAGATAGCTGGATCCGCCCGGGGGCTTTAGAAGCCGCCAAAGGAATCCAGGGACCGGCTTGCTCGCAGGATCTGGAGTGGATGGAACCGTTTCAGTTCTCTCACCCGATCAAATTTCTCTCCCGCGACATCATCGCTGTCCCAGCAGCGCACGGAGAACGGCCGTCTCTCTCCATCGTGGGAGAACCTCTGTTCAGCGACCATGCGATAGTGGACTTGGCGAAATCTACCAAATTAGTTGTCTCGAAATGTCTGCCGCCGCTACATCTCGAAGTGCCCCAAGTCAAGTTACCGCCAGTGGATGCTTCAAATATGATTTTCGGACTACAAACGACCATTGGCCGACTCAAGGATACAGTCAAGCATCTCGCGCGCTGGCTACCTCACACAGGTGCCAGGCTCTTTGCTATCGTCATTGAGAACGAGGAGACACCTGCTGGCGAAGAAGATATGGCTAAGCTCGAGGCCGATTTCCACGACCTTGGCATGGATGTTACAGTTATCCACCCAGTCCGTCCAATTGACCTTTTCGCCCAGCGATACTTCTCACTTGTGAATGTCATGTACAGTGCTCGTAACGAAAAGACCGAATGGATTATTACCATCGACGATGATACCTTCTTCCCCAGCATGCACGACCTGCAGGCCCTCCTCAAACACCACGACCCCCGCAAACCGCAATACATTGGCTCCCTGAGCGAAGATTGGTGGGCAGTAAACCACTACGGCCTCATGGGCTTCGGCGGCGCAGGGATCATGATTTCCCTTCCCCTAGCAAAAATTATCGATGACCACCGCGATGAGTGCAAAGAACACCCTCGCACCACAGCTGGAGACATCACAATTATGGACTGTGTGTACCGCTTCTCCTCGACGAAACTCACCCACGTCCCTGGACTCCACCAAGTCGACATGCATGGCGACTTGTCGGGTTTCTACGAATCAGGCCGCGAAATGATCTCTCTGCATCACTGGAAAGAAGGATCCGCGACAGGATTCAAGCTCGAGATGGAGAAAATGCATCTCGTAGCCGATATTTGCGACTCATGTTTCCTGCAGCGCTGGCAATTCCCCAACGAGCTCATCCTCTCTAACGGCTTCTCCATCGCATACTACCCCAAATACCAGATATCCGGCCAAAAATCCGGACTTCTTGGAATCGGTATGGGAAGCGGAGAGGCGCAGAAGATCAACCTGGAAGAGATGGAGCATACGTGGGGTGACGATATCAATGTTTTGCATTCGCTGGCGCCGACACGCGAGAAGATGGCGGAGGATGCGAAAATGAGTTATAAGTTGTTGGATAGCTTTAAGGTGGCCGACGGTGTGGTGAGACAGGTATACTTTAGAGAAGGGGGTGTTGATAATCAGGATACGGTCATGGTTTTGAATTGGAAGGCGGCGGGGGCAGTATTGGGGAGATCGGAAACGAAAAGCGTGTGATAATCAGCGGGGGGTGTAACGGGAGGAGTAAAGGCGTTCAGGATGAGAGGATGCATGGTTGATTTACTTGGGCGCTGCTCGAGCTCGAAAAGAACAGACGTCGTGTGGAGCAACCGCATGTTGATACATGTGTGTAATATCATTTAATTTCTCCCTTGGTCTTACTCGATCACCGTGGATTTCCCGAGAATCTCGTCTAAGGGATTCATTTCTGCTCTGGCCGTTGGTGCTTTTGGAGACTGGTAAGGAGCGCTGGTCGATACAGATGCGGGCTCGAGAGTGTGGTTGTAAGGCCGAGACGATTTTTTTTGAGCGGCTTCTTTGCAGATCCGCACCCAGGCTTACTTCTCTCTTTTCAGATATCGGGACACTACGCTCATCGCCCGTCGCGCGAGTGCCTTTATTGGTCTCTTCCCCCCTCGATGCCAACCCTTTCTGGAGCTCTGTGATCTTCCGCTTCCCCTTGGGCGCTGGGGCTTGCTGCTCATGCTCTCCTGCATACTGTAAGCTACCATCGATGTTGAAGATATTCGGAGAACATACATTTTCTGCTCCGTTTGAGTCTTCTTCGTCTTGGGAGACGAACAGGGACGGCAACGCCTCTCGTTCTTCTGCTGTATCTTGTTCTGCTGCCTTTGCTGCCTTTGCCGCTTCTGCATAATGTCCTGGTGTCTTTTTCTTTTTCTTTTTCTTCTTCTTTTTTTTCTCTCGAAAACCTTGTGACTTCCATTCTTGAATCTTTCCCAGATTTCATCGCTCTGCGTCTTCTTTCTGTTTGCTTTTCCACCCTTTAACAGCCACCACACTTATATGATCGTCGAAAGTGGCATCACTCAAGAGCCATGCCTTCTCACCTGTCCCCGAAGGATCGGTCCGCTGCGTAAAACTTTCGCTTTCGGGGCAGTATCTCCTCTTCATCTTCTCGTCCGCCACGATCCGCTCGATCGGTTGTGCGAAGCTGCCTACCTGCCTGAGTCCTCGCCCCTTGCATGCTTTCTTGGGAAGCATTCGTGCTATTGCTGCTTTAGCGCTGATGGTGGCTGGCTGTTACGGCATTCTTGGCTATTGTCTCTATCGCCCGTTCAAGTGGTCGCGAGATTGATGTATGCGGGATTGGAAGTGACGGCGGCGGAAGGGGAGAAAAACCGATGATGGTAGTCGGTGCGTTGACCCGTGATGTAAACAAGCCCCCACGCGACGACCTTGGACTGATTTAGTTCCCGCACTTGAGATTTACGCGTTCGAGACCTCCGGGGAAGGAACGGCACGTGCGATTTATCACATCGGTCTTCTTCTACGGGCGTGAACGCTTTTCGCCCATGTCCGCCTAGTCCCCCAGGCAGATTCTTAGAAAGTGATTGGAACGCTGTTCGGCGCGCGCTTCATTCAACCGGAACATCCACGGCTGTTTTCTTGAGCACCACATCAATCAGCTTAAGATGGCAGGTACGCGTACATCAGTCAGTTGCCCTTGTTGCTCAATTGGTGTTACGTAAAAGTCTTGTTGGGGCTGGGCCCCGGAGCGTCTTGGGCGTTACCCCAGGAGTGTGGGCGGGTAACCAGACTTCACCACTCCGAATGTGGCAAGGAGTGTTCAAACGAGACATCTTCCAGATGATCTCATATATGACTAGCAATCGTTTTCTGGGGGGCGTCTTATCCTTATCGTTATGCTTTTTTGTTTTTGGTCGGCTGATATAGCGCGTTGCGCGGGGTTGGGAGTTAAGCGAGGCTTTTTTTTATAGCATCCCGCAAAAGCGGCAGGTGCGGAAAGTATGTAGGAAAAGGCTGCGCCATGGGCCCGCATTGAAAATACATATCTGGCTACAGATTTTTTTTTTACGTTCGATAGCTATTACGAATAGCTTTTGATTATGCTATCTGGCAGAATCCGACAGCTTTTTGTCCGGACACCGAACTATATACATCAGTTACGACGTCTGCACTAAGCTGAGAAAGTGGCCTTGGGAGGTATCATTTATTCCAGTCTTGAAAGAAATGCAAACGTGGTTTGAGAGGAATAGAACGGGCAGCCATCGACTCTTGTATATTTTGATCTTCGCTATCTATATGGCAACTTTCTACCGATGTAAGTCCATGCTACCACAGCTCAACTCTCTCGCTCAGAACCACAGTTTAAATAAAGCCACTGAGCTAACCTGTTTTTTCTCGAAGCTAGAGCGTGGGTGCTCATGAGGAGGTTGTTTACCATGGACGGGAAAAAATCTTCTTGGTATAGAGAGATCGAAAATCGGCACAGAGGTGCGAGATATTCTATCAACCCGCATTTCTCTTACCATTTAATATCCCGAATTTACTTTTCGATTGCTTTGCGTCAAAGATGCGAGCTGCGGAGTGGAAAGTGGCGAGTCTGCTGGACCTGTACGGGAGGGATGTGAGGTCACAACTCACGAGCCGATTATCGCATGACATATGCACAATGTCTCGTTGAAGAATCGCGATTTCTAAAGAGCAAAAATTTGCAGGGCAGAAAGTCTTTGATTTCCAGGAAGGCTTACTACAAGGTAGTGGGATGAGACAGTGCCAAGGACCTGATCCCGTAACACTTTTCTCGCGCGCATCTCATCCTCGAAGATCGAATACAAAATATCCATATCCATCCATCAGAGTCCCCAGCAAGTTCCATGCCGCATGGTCCCAGAGCCCTGTTAGAAGGACGGTATAAACCATCACTCTATGTCTGCCTGCTCCCCAGAACATGAAGAGTGCTGAACAAACAGAGCTCCCAAATACACGGGATGGCGTCTTGTCCGACCAGACTCACTCCATCCAGACCGTGATCTCCTCGCCATCATCTCCTTCCATGTATCCCAAAAACTTCGTGGAAACCTTGCTGTTCTTGACTCGCGCAATCTCGAAATCCTCCCCGAATTGCCGCTCACTTCCATGATCACTGGTTTGGATGGTATCCGCCGCCGTTTCCTTCTCGCCATCCTCGTCATACCCAAGCTCCTGAATCTCCTCATACTCATCGAATCGCTCAAAACCATGCTCGTCCTCTTCGTCGTTGAACATGTCCAAAGCAACCCCGTCTACCTTGAGATAGAATTTAGTCGGGTCCGTGAGGTGGTACAAGTTACTGTTATGCACCAGATCATTGTGACGAATGTATGCCATGCTCATATCAAAGAGCAAATCTCTTGGGGCCGTCTCTTGGATGGCTGCGAGGACTTCAGGGGTGAAGCTTTGAGCCGCGTAGTAAATGGCGAGGGCGCGCATCGGGGTCCCGGCAGCTTTGCCATCAAGGTAGACTCGCATAGCAAACTCGGAAATGGTAGCGACATTGGTCTTGTCCAGCATTGGAACCAGGCTGTCCATGACCGCATTCTGCAGCGCGGGCATCACGAACACATTGGCGAGGTTGTAGAGCTTTGCGAGCGGCAGCAAGTGCGTGGCCAACAGCTTCTTCGACTTCTTGTTGCGATCAAGGACGGCGAGAGAGACTTCCTGAGCGTAGAACCAGTGTGCCATCATACCGAAGACCTGCACTTCGACATCACATAGCCTAAGCTGGAGGGAGTCTTGAAGCAATACCATAGCGACAACGGGGGCGTGAATTTCGATCTGGCGTTTGTGGATCGAGAACACCTCTTCTTGGCCAGCCTTGCCAATAGTGAAGGTGACCAGTGGGGATGGCTTACTAGAGAACATCAGCAAGTTGAGTGTAAAAAGAACGGAAAGGAAAGAAACTTACGTGAAGTCCATTACTGGTTTTCTGAGGCCCTTCGCGGCGCGTTCAAAGGGGATCAGGTTTGGTGAAGACATTATTGGAGGGAGTACTTTTGTAGATCGAAGACGGAAAGTAAGGCGATGAAGCTTCGATTTCTTTCCGAGCGCGCGATGTATCAAGCCAGGAAAACACTGATATGCAATACAAAATTATGGGATCTGCAGATAGAGATTTCTGTTGTTGTAGTGTCGAATCTGTTATGCGAAAGTTGTGATTTAGCGTTCTGGGGTTGTCGATAGTGTAAAGGAAGAGGTGCTGATGGGGAATCGAAAGAAGCACTTGGATTGAAGTACTAGCAGCGACGGATAATTATCGGGCCATAAAAATCGCATACAATTTGTCAGGGCGAAGGTGAATAGTCGTGTTCAACTCACAATTACAATGATTTGCCGCGAACTCAATGCCAAGGTGATATTGAGTATTCTGCTTCTTTAGACAGCGTGCATCAAAGGCAGGGGCATATATCAAAGCAAATCAAGGTGCCGAAAGGAAAAGCTTACAGGGTGAATGGAGAATGATTTCTAGATGTATATGAAGTCTGGTTATTCCTAACGTTGGAAGTCCTCACCTAGTGTATAATGATCTGGAACTTGGGCAATGTTTGCTGAGATGCTATATAGTCGTATTGAAAGCAGCTCTTACTAAATCTAATCCCTGGGGGCGTAAAAGCAGAAAGCTCAAGGTAGCTTTCTGCTGCCCTTGATCTGCCTTCCTGCCAAATCCGAATTTGGCCCTCATGTTGATTGTAGCCTTCGAAATCATACCTGATCGGCCAAGGGACACCCCCCCTGTTTCATCATCTAGAGCTGATGACCATCAAAGAGATATCGCACGCTGACGAGATTCTTCCGAGCAGAAAGAACACAGTCATTCCTATTCGCGGTCGTCCAGCACTTCCACATGATACTGCTCATCCTTTCTCAATTCCCAGCTTTGCAAGTCCATCGGCAGCCTATTGAAGTGACTGTTCAAGCTCTTAGTGAGATGAACGAGTAGCAAGGCCGGAAGGTGCTCCATCCAAGTATCCAACGCGCCAGTCGGGAGGTATGCAAAGTGATCGACCAACGCCTTCTGCAAGAGCGGGAACCGATCGAGCCTATCGGTATTCGCGTCGAAAGCGTAGTCCACGAGCGCCTTGATATCGTCCAGATTCTCGCCGGGCCACACCCCCGCTCTCAAGAGCGAGCGTATCTTATCCATCGCTCTGTTCTGCAGGACGGGCATGTGGACCTCGGCGCACAGCATCCACAACTTGGCCAGGCTGAGAGCTTCCGCGCTTTCGATGTCAGAGGTGTATATCCAGCGGACGACGAGCCCGAAGATTTCGGGATCCGTGTCTTCTAATCGCAAAGTCGTCACACTGTTGTCCTTGCTGCCGTCTATAACGCTGTTGAAGATATAGCTGAAGTAGACTGAGCAGCTACAGATGAGCTCCCGGTGTACCATATATTCTTCCTCCTCATCTCCGTCTGATACTATGATTGTGACAAGCTCTTCGGGTTCCCTGCAGCTGATCGAGTCAATGATGGACAGGGGCGTATGGGAGTAGCTCGGATCAGATTGACAGATTGAAACCGGTGACAGAATAAAATTTGTTACTCACGCTTGTAGGAGCTGCTGCTGCTCTCTTTTAACAAATTCTGGCACGATGATGGAAGCCATATCGGGGCTGGTGGAGAGATTGTCCTTGATGTGACTTAAGGCTAAAGGCGGCTGTACAGCGAGTTTGTGTTTGCGGTTTGACTTGTGTCGTGCATTGCACTGGTTGTGACAAGGCTCTGACAGATAAAGGGTACGGTATTAAGTAGACTTCCTTTATAAGTTGGAACTTGCTGGTTTATTAAGCTCAATGTTAACTGTGCGCTTTACCAAAGCGATATTTACACAGCTCTCAGAGAAATATGGCGTCGGCATCTTCTCTACGCCTTGTCTGCCGCATGCCTACATCCTCGCTACTATTTCATAAGGCCAATATTCTACGATTGGAAGATGAAATGGGATGTCACAGCCTATCGGAACTATGGAGCGCCGCAATAGGCTATGTGATAGTGGAAATTCAGACTTTAGGAGGAATAGAGGGTAGCATGTCCACGAAATACAAAACAAGCAAATTAGTCCGATACCCCAGTTCACTATTGGAAATTGCTAGTCATCTCCAGAGTCCAGACGTCTGACCAACCAAGCCCAATCTCCACTCAATTATCTGTCCGTATCCTCCATCTCACTTCTCCTGCTTCGGAGCAGCAGCCTCCTCTCCCACGCGAACGTAGTATTCCTTGGCCCTTCCCAATACGCCAAATTTCCTCGTGGGCTTGGCTCCAAAGATATGATCCTTCTTCAAGCTCATTATGATGTCGGCCATCATACCATCGGGCAAGTACCCTTTAGTGATCCAGATTTGTAGTCCTGCAGCCGGGGTCATCCATGCCATCATATCTGTAGCAAGGCTCTTCAGTGGTGTCCTCTCGACCGACGCCTCGTATGCAAAGTGCATAAACTTCCTCAGCCCCTCCTCCTCTGCCCACTCGACCATTGTTCTGAGTTCATTCATGATCTTGTTCTGTAGCGCAGGCATAAAGAATCGACCTGCTATCACCCAAAGTTGGGCGAGGGGAATGATGTTCCCATCGTAATCTTTCGGGTCAACGTCGATCTGCTGAGTATACAAGTAGTCCACTAAGAGGCCAAAAGTTTCGGAGTTGACGTCATCGAGGCGCATGGTCTGAGTCTCGCCTTCAGCGAAATTGCCATTGAACGCAGCATTGAAGAATGGCGAATAGTAGCAGATGATGCCCTTGTGAATGATATATGTTTCCTTTGTGTCTTCGGGGCCGACGATGACTGTCACGACCTTCTGTGGACGCCTTCAGGAAATTAAGAAGGCTCCTGAACCCAAAAGAAATGATTTGATGGGCTTACCTCAAGCTCGGCGCCTTCTCTAACTCGGAAACTGATGAGCTCCCTGGGCCTCCGTCTTGCAACAACCGCGGGGAGATGTTTTGGGACATCGGGTTCTGGGCACTTCGTTGAAGTTGGAGGTCGTCCAAGGACATGGTTGCTGACGAAGGGCTAGCAGTTTTCATTCTTGCTTGCTTTGGGCTCATTTTCTTTTCGGTTTTGGGATGTGTAGCAGCAGTCGACAGATAGGTGGTTGACCGCGAAGTCAAGTACTTGCGCCAAGCCTCGCTTAGCTGCATAGTCCCGATTGAGAGGGCTTTGTATGTATTCCGAGGAACGCTAGTGCTATTAATGTTGCCTTGGGGTAGAATTCGAGAAATGTTAGACTGAGGCTCAGTAGATTCCCCGTGATCAAAGCTCTCTTCTAGGTCAATGCTCGTTTACTGTAAATATGATGCTCAGGTTTATAATCAGGTCTCAATATCTGATTAGTAAACGCTGTATATCGATTAATATGGAATCTTATGGAAGCTAGACATAGTAGTGGTTTCTTTGCTGCAGAAATTTAACTATCATTCTAGCCAAGGCTCTCTCTATAAAGAGAAAGGGCCCACTGACGCTGGACTGAAACACTTCTCACCATGTTACTCTCAAGGGTACCAAGCTCTGAATATTATATAGCTTTCAAGATGACCTTGACGAACCTCTCGCGCGGAGACAACAACTCTGGACATGACGTATCGAAAAGCTAAAAGTCATGTTTTATAGGTCGAAGTTATGCTTGGCTCCTGCTTTGAGACGGAGCTCCTTCTTGCATTCCAGTTCGAATGTTGACTTTATCCCGGGACCCGAATTCTGGCTTGAGCTCGAGTCGAGAATCTAAGCTTCGAAGGAACGGATTTGAGCAGAGTCCCAACCTCTGGGGTGGGTAAATACGAAGAAAAAGGCTGTGCCCATATATCCAAGTCGTTGTTATTTATTGTTTCAGATGGAATAACTAACCACTTGCAGCTTATCAGGGATATGTGAGATACATGAAAAGAGTAATCTCGCAATCTGAATAACGATAAAGCGAGAAGAGAAAAGAAAAGAAGATTTAAGACGAAAAGAGCTCATCGGGACGGCTCCCTTTGTATTTTCGGGATTTTCGGATCTCTACACCTAGATGCGCTAAAGCCTGACCGAGCAAATTCTTAACTTGCTCAACGCTCGAACCTGGTCGAACCAAATGCTCGATACCTACCCATTCCCCTTCCATCGGAGACTTATCAAAGGAAAAGCTCCGCCATACTCCCCCCTTTCCTAGAATCGAGAAAAAGAGAAGAAGAGAATGTCGGGGGTTGGACTTTGATTGGGGATAATTTCTTTCCTTCTTGTATCAACTATACTATCCCGCTTGTAAAGGAAGAGAAGGAGCACTTGAACGTCATCGATGCTCGTTCCGAGAATACTTTTTCGAACTGCATTTTAAGGTGTTATAAGATGATGTTAAGTCGATTTAGGAAAAGATTATTGCTGTCGAAGGGTTTAGCGCTTGGAATTGTTATTGTTGTTGTTATATTTATTTACGTCGGGCGGGTAGCAGGCGAAGCCTGCCGCCTTAAGACCTCTTATAAGGTACGGCGACGTGCTAAGCTAAGGAGTTACATACAAGAAAGCCTTAGAAAGCAATTCAAAGTGTTATAGCGAAAGCTATTATCGCATGCGCTTTTCTTTTATAAATAAGATAGATCACATAGAAAGAAACTTTTTATTAAAGGAAAACTATAAAAAAAAGAGTCGAGCATATACAAACTGCTATAATTAGCTAAAAGCGAGCTGTTTACGTCGTGTAGCGATAAGAATCAAAGCCGGACCGAAGTTAGCCGAGTATAAAAGAAAAGGTAAATACGAAAGACTAAACTTTAAAAGAAAACTTAATATAATATACTAGTGCTAAAGAGAATTCTTTCGAAAGCGCACTACGCTATTTTAAAGTTTTAATCTCGTAACGCGGTTGATTTGACGAGCTTTTACAGCTTAAGTAAAGCGGAGCGTACTCCGTTCTTTTTATTAAAGTAGTATTAGTTAGCTAGAGTAGCACTTTTATCGAGTGTAATGTTTAAAATAGAATTCCGTAGTAGTTAAGAAAGCTTGAAAATCGGCCGGATTATTAAAAAGACTTTTAAAGAAGTCGTAAGCTTTCGGGATCGTGCTCGAAAAGGTCCGCGGTCGAGTTTTATAAAGCTAAGAAAAAAAGCGTCGTTGCGTGAATCGGCAAAAAGCTATATGCAAAAAAGACTTGCGTTTGCCGCAAGCATACTTTAAGTTAACGTCGTAGTACTAAAACTTAATATAATACTAAGTAAAGTTTTCGTACGTAATTCGGATCGCAAGTAATCTATATAAAATATATCGTAAGAGTTTTAGCTTTAAAAGAAGCTTGATTAAGTATAAAAAGCTTTATTTCCGATACAAGCGTAAAAGCTTAAAAGAGCTTGCGCTTTATTAAGCTTTTCGTACTGTTACGGCTGTCGAAGGCAGTATGATTGTAGTGCTACCTAAAAGTACGCTAGGTAATGAGAAAGAAAGATAAAGAAGGAAAGGAAGAGAACGAGTGCAGAAGAAGAGGTCTTGTAGGCTGCCTTGCCAAGACGGGAGCCTAAAGTCACGAGGTAACGTGTGACCCTGGGCGCGTAGCAACGTGACCTCCGCGTGACCGCTATCACTACCGCTATCACTACCGTAACATCACCCCCCCCCTTCGAAAAACTGCGTCCTCGCAGTTTATGTTATTGGTCTATCGTCCTTAAGGTCACTATAATCATCCCGTCCTTGATTATAAGCCTCTAGCTATAGTAGTAGTGCTCTCGGCGGCCCTTTTGCTGTTGGGTGCGCTAAGTGGAATCTTTTAAGCATTTGAAGTGCTGTCATCGCGTCCGAGCACGAGTACTATTCGAGGTCCTCGTCTGCTCTAACCCATTGTATTCGGTATTAGAGTGCTCTTTTGTATATACGAGAAGCCAAGACTTGTTCGATTTCCTATTCGTCTTAATCAAGTAGTATTTGAATTAGCGCTGGCTAAGGTCTTACTTGGCCTAGCAATAAGTTTGTAGTATGCTTTCGTAATAAATAGGAATAGAATATAAGATGAATCTTCCAAGTTGGTAGTAGTTTGACTTCCTAACTCTCTCTTACCTTTTTATTAACTTTGATTGGCCCGTACTATTTATCTCCGAGCTTTCTAAAAGGTCGGTCCATTTTCTAGTTCTTCATGTCGATCATCATATCGTCTCCGACGTCCTAGTTTACTAGACGGCGCTTAGCGTTAGCTAGCCTTTCTATCTTGGCTTGTTAGTTTGCAATCGAGGATTGAGCGAACTCGATAGCACTCCGAGCTCTAGTAGCTACGCTGTGTGCCTCTTGTTGATTCAATCGCTTTGTAGCCGAAGAAAGGGGGCTCGGATTGATCATATCTCAAGAGCAGCGCGCTTGATATCCATTGCTAACTTCGAAAGGGGACAGCTCCCCTAATGACTCATAAGGCAAAGTCAATTGGGCGATGTCCATAAGAGGAAAGAGCTCGCTTTAATTGTCCTGGTAGTATGTGCAAAATAAGCGGAGGCGTTGCTTGATATATTGGTTCATCACTTCTGTCTGTCCGTCCGCTTGCGGGTTGTATGCTATTGTAAGCTTAATCTTTGTCCTTAATATACGGCAAATTTCGGCCTAAAAAGTTAAGACGAACTGAGGGCCCCGATCAAAGACTATAGAGTCTAGCATACTAAAGTAACGGACCTAGTTCACTAAGAATAGCTGTGCAAAGTCTTTAGCTGTGGTTGTTTTATAGCAAAGGATCGATATAAGCTTTTTTAAGAGCTTGTTTATTATTACCAAGATCGAGTCATAGCCTTGTTCGTCTAAAGGGCACTTAGTGAAGTCCATTGTCAAGTGTTGGTAAAAGCGAGCTAGGATCGGTAATAGATGCAAGAATCCTGGCTTTTTATCGCGCTTAACCTTTATTCGAGCGCACCTGCAATTAGCTATATAGCGTCTAATGTCTGCATTAAGGCCTTTCCAATAGAATTTGCGTTGCGTTAGCTAAGCTGTTTTTGTCACGCCTGCGTAAGCTATACATAGTTGCTCGTATATGTGCCGAATAAAGCAAGTGCGAAGCTTTAAAGGATTGATTAGTATTATTAGTCTACCTTGAAAGTAGATTTTTCCGTTTATCAAAGTGTAGTCCAAATCCGTCTCGATATGTTCCTTTATTTCTTAGAGTTCTAAAGCCGTTGCGTTTGCTTGTAAGACTTTATCGATAATATCGTATCCGGCGATGTCATACGCTATTTGTGATATAAGATCAAGTGGCTCCCCGCTTAGTTCTTCGTCTTCTAACGTCTTTGCTTGTACTAGCGCTAACCTTGTGTTTTCGCCGCAATATATGCCTTTTGCTTATACGGTGTCGTAGAAGAACGGCGTGTTTTGCTTAAATGCCGGCGAAGCCATTTCCTTTAAGATGTCAAGGTCGATTTTGTCGTTAAGGATCAGTTGTTGTTTCTTTAATGCTCTTTAGCGTGCCTTTAATAAAGAGAGGTCTTGCTTACGGCGGAACAAGGTGTCAGCGAGAGTATTCGTCGAGCCGCTACGGAACATTACAAGGAAGTGGAATTCAAAAAAGAACTCCGCCTATCGAGCTTAACGTGCTATCAAATCCTTCGTCGTTATGAAATATTCTAGAGCTTTATAGTTTATGTAAACGTAGACTTGCTTTTGCGCTTCAATAAGCTCCGGCTTATAGTTTTAAAAGGATTTGAATATTGCAAGGAGTTCTTTGTCGTGTATTAAGTAGTTGAGCTTAGCGTCGATCATTGCTTTAAAGAAGAACCTTATAAGGTGGTAGAAGCCATCTTCCTAGAGTTGTAAGAGTACTCCCGCGACCACGCCGTTTAATGAATCAGTCTTTAGCCGTGTTTGCTTTGCAAGGTCGTAATAGCAAAAGATAAAGGCGTTTTGCAAAGCGTTTCGCAACTTCTGCTACGCGTCCTCGCACTCTAGTGTGAACTTGAATAGGACGTCCTTTCTTATCAGATTAGTCAAGGGCTTGCAGATCCGGCTATAACTTTTGATAAATCGGCGGTAGAAGTTGCAAAACCTTAAATAAGCTTACACTCCTCGGACGTTTGTAGCGTATCGCTAATCAGTAACTATTGCAACCTTGTTCGGGTCTACCTTGATTCCTTTCGTTGTAATGATAAACCCGAGGAACTTGGTTTCCGTAACGCCGAATTCACACTTTTTAATATCTGCTTGCAACCCATGGTCGGATAAGATTTTCATAACCTTTCTAACGTAGTTCACGTGTTTTTTCTCGTCCGTTAAGTATATTAAGATATCATCTAAATACGCAAAGCAAAATTCGTCTAAGTGCTTTATCAAGATGTCGTTAATGAAACGCTAGAAAGTGGCTAGTCTATTTGTAAAGTCGAAAAGCAGAACCTTGTATTTGTACATTCCGAATTTGCATCGCCAAGTAGTTTTGTCTTCGTCTTCTTGGTTGATTCGTATGCGATAGAAAGCTTGCTAGATGTCGATCTTCGTAAAGATTTTAGCTTAAAAGATCCGAGCTATTATCTCATCGATCAAAAGGAGTAGGTATCCGTCTTTTTTAGTTAAAGCGTTGAGCTTCCGATAATCGATGCAAAGTCTTATAAAACCATCCGCTTTTTTAGTGAATAGAATTAGCGCTGCGTAAGGAGCGTTTAACGGTTCTATAAACCCTTTGTATAAGTTCTCTTAGATATATTGTTTTACTTCGGAGAGCTGGCCGTCTGTAAGCTTACGCAAAGGTTCTATAGACAAGGTGTTTTCTCTTATCAAGTCGATTTTGTAGTCTACTTTCGGACGGCAACGTGCGAAAAGGTCTGAAGCTTCCTTAGAAAACAGGTCCTTGAATTCGTAGTATTGCTCTAAGAGTTTAGCTCGTACGAGCGCCTCATTCGTTTCATATTTGTCGGCGAAGGCCTTTGCTACGGTCTTATTATTCAGTGATGCTAACTGAATAGTTTAAAGGTGCTAAGACTCAATATCGCGGCGAGCTTGTTCTGCGTTTATAAAGTGGACTAAAGTAAAGAACGTGAATTCATCTAGTATAAGTGTGCTATCTTTTTTAGCTATTATAGCCTTTTTCTTTTGCCTTTTATGCAATGCGGAGAAAGCATTTGCGGAGATGAGGCTGATGCTAGTTGTATATGGAATTGAGTTTGCCGAGGCTAAAAGAATAAACGGAGGTGGCTTTTCTGTGACTACCTTCTCTTCTAAGAGCTTTTCTATTGCAGCTAAACGTCTTTTTATATCTTTGCAAAACCCAGATTCGCGCCTTTTAAAAAGTCGGTCGCTATGCGAGTATACCCTTGCAAGTCCAGTTAAACTTCCTTCCTTACTTGATATAAGACTAAAAGAAATAACCGAGGCCAGCTTTGCTTGGTCTTCTTTTTCTATTAACGCGTCTCTTTTAAAAGCGTCGGACTAGTAGGCGTATTTATACGAGAGTAATAAATCAATAAAAATACGTGAATCGAAGTAAAGTATGACCGGCATATTAGAAAGCTAGAATAGCTGCTTGCGTTTTCCGAAACCCTAGCATAGATCGTAGTGTTCAAGGAACTTGCGGCTTAGCAGCACGTCCGTAGAACTTAATTTAATGACCAAGAAAAGGAAATTAATTCGACGCTTGTCGATTGTTAATGTTAATAAGATCACCTAGCGTATAGGTTCTCTTTTAGCACTATCGTAGCCAGTAAGGACGATTAGCTGAAGTAGTTTAAGGAAAAGGACACTCAAGGCTTTGCTCAGCTTGTAAGCTAAAGCTATTTGAAGAGCGCCGAAGATATTTGCTCCGCTATCAAGATGTGCGATTGTTTTGATGAATAATCCATTTCGAGCTAGTTCTATCGGTACTAAAGACTGCTTCCCTCCTACGAAGAGGCTGAAGTTGGATTTTAAATCTTTCCACAAGTTGTGGCCTATGCTATAGTAAGAGTCTTTCCCACGGCCTAGCAGTTTTCCGACATGTCGTCCTTTTCCACTTCTTCGATATCTATCTTAGCTATCTTTTGCTTTAGCTTTATGTTCAAGCAGTCTGCTTTGAAGTGGCCTTTCTTGCCATAACTGAAACACATAGAGTCTGGGTCAGCGGTGCGAAGGCTTCTAAAGCGTTCCCGACGCTCCTTTGCCATCGGTGAAGACTAGCGGGAAGGTGTAAAGCTCGGTGAATAGATGCGTAGCGGTGGTCCTTGCGAACTCGACTGCCAATTTGCGTTCCGAAAGACTCCTCTCGGTGCAGAGCTAGCTGCTTGGTTGAACGTCATTGCCGACGTGCGTCGTAAGAGTGCTAGTTCCTCGGCGCGGATGTTACGCGATTCCCGATCCACGATAGCGAGGTACTCGTCGAAGGCTCTGTAGCTTCCGTTCATCTTGTATTTTTCAATTCGAAAGTCAGTTTTCAGTGCTAAGGACACCTTTTATG